AGAGAGAGAGAGAGAGAGAGAGAGAGAGAGAGAGAGAGAGAGAGAGAGAGAGAGAGAGAGAGAGAGAGAGAACGAGAGTTATTGTAAACACGAGATGAAGCCACACGGAACTAGTTCATAACCTTGTCAGACAGCCATCTTTCCCTTCTCCTTCGACTGATAGAAGTGAGGCGCTAGTTCCGTTAGCCATTCCATTTTGATGGTACTGACATCAACGATGTAGGCCTCGTCTGTAGCCCTGCAAGTAAAGTACACTACCCATTTGGGAGTGCTTTTAGACAGAACAGAAGAAGGGTGTATGTGAAAGAGGTTGCCCCCTTGGATGCTTTGGTATGTTCGGCCGTCTCCATCTGGCAGAAGTCGTGCAGCATTCATGAAGAGACTAGCGGTGATGCATTTCATTACCTTTTCGAGTTCTGTCCCACATGAGTTGAAAGGCACTCCAAGCCTCTTCAACTTTCTGCAGAGCTGATACCTGATGTCAGCGACTTTGGAGACATTGTGGTAGTTGAGGCAGTTCTCATGGCACCACTTGCTGGACTTCTTCGACCGAAGAAACCCTTCGTACACGTTGAGGTAGGTGACAAGATCACCTTCACCAACCGCAAAGCGGCTTTTTGCAGCGTCAAGTTCACGAGGGGAATTCCTTGCCGAGAACCACAACCTTTGAACTGACAACGCCGCTGCTATGGTGAGCACTTCTTCCGAGCACCCCATCTCCCCGGACGCGATGAGCATTTTTGCAAGCATCGGTTCCTGTGGTATCACCTCGGCTATTCGTGTGCCAAGGGGAGTTAGGCGCGCATCGCGCCCGAGAATGCCGATGCCGTACAGCTTCTCTAGGGCTCTGATCATCATCTCTGGAGGTGGAGGAGACAAGAAGTCAAACCTCATGATGTTGTCGATTCCGAGTGCCTTGAGCTGCAGGACGGTGGCTGTCAGATCGCTTCTTTCCATTTCGGGAATGCTCCGGGGTTCCATTGATTCCTGAAAGTACTCTTCTGTATACAATCTAAAGCACTTCCCTGGACGCACGCGTCCGGCCCTCCCGGCCCGCTGCTTTGCAGAGGCTCTGGAGATCGGCACGACCATCAACGACTCCACCCCTCTTATCGGGTCATAAAACTTCTGTTTCACAAAGCCTGAATCAATAACGTAGACGATCCCTTCCATGGTCACACTTGTTTCCGCAACATTTGTTGAAAGGACGACTTTCCTGTGCCCTCTCCTTGTGGGAGAACCAAACACCTTATCCACTTCGTCCTTCGGAAGACCTGCATAGAGAGGGAGGGGGATGATGCTCCTAGAATTAGGTGGCAGTTCGTGAATCTCGTCGTGGATCATCTGCGCTGCAGTCTCCACCTCCTTCTGACCAGTCAGGAAGACGAGGATGTCCCCACTGCTGCCAAGTGGCTCTTCCTGGTGAATTCTTATCACAGTTGTCACAGCGCACTGAAGGTAGTTGCTCGTCGGCTCTTCAAGATAAAGGATTTCCACAGGATATGCACGGCCTTCCACAGAGAGTATCGCCGGCTTCTTGCTTGGAAGGTCGCAAGTTTTCCGCGCATCACGAGAATCCTCGTTCTTCTCCCCGTCCTCCTCCTCCTCCTCCTCCTCCGTTCTGTCCGCCACAGACCGCGTGTTCCCGCCGTGATGCTCTGTGGCATCGAAATAATCTGCAATCTCCTTCGCATCAAGAGTCGCTGAGCAGATCACGAGCCTCAAGTCCGGCCTTCTCCGCTGCACCTTCTTCAATAGACCCAGCAGCAAGTCAGTTGCCAGACTCCTCTCATGGGCTTCATCTACCATAATAACTCCGTACGAAGAAAGGAGGGGGTTCTCCATCATCTCCTGTATAAGCAACCCATCAGTGACATACTTGATACGTGTGTTTTCTGATGTTGCGTTCTCAAACCGAACAGCATAGCCAACTTCAGAGCCACCCATCTGTTCCGCAACATGTGCAGCAAGTGTCCGCACTGCCACCCTACGAGGCTGTGTGCAGACAATCTGCCTCCCACCAGCAGCCCAGCCTGCTTCGTACAGAAACTGAGGGATCTGGGTGGATTTGCCGCTTCCTGTCTCTCCCACAATCACAGTTGTAGCATGTTTTTCCACCAAATACAGAATAGCCTTGCGATATTCATGAACCGGAAGCCTCTGGCTCTGATTCGGCCCATACAGAGATGACCGACTACTAAGAAGGGAAACATCCTGGTCGTTGTCGTCATCAAAATCTCTGTGGATCCTGCGAGACAAGGGAGGTTGGTCAGGCTGCTTCACTCCAGGCTTCCAGAAGTAGGACATTTTCCCCTCTTCTAGCAGCAATAGGGTAGAAATAGATGCAAGTAGAACTGCTCCCTACTTTTCACGCCTGCACAGACAATGCACACACCCCAATTCCACACACCCAACCAGTCCACAGTCCTTCAGAAGATGGGAAAACTAGGTGGGTGAAGTTTTCTCTCCCTTCTGTAATCATCTTCACAGATACACACATGGTTAATGGGGTTAACCACATAATAAAATACCAAAATCATGATGTGGGGCCAGGGAAAACAAATGAAGGCTCAGGATGGTGATTAAAATTTTTAAACCACTAGTACCTCCGAGCCTATTTTCGACAAGTTCTTGCCAGCTCCCGAACTTTCGGGAGGCCGAGCACGACAACGGCTGCCGTTGATAAATCTGATCGGCGGCTGTCGTTTCATTTCGGCCTCCTGAAAGGTCAGAGGCCGAGTATTTTCGAACCGACAAAGGTACTAGTGGTTTAACTAAAAGAAAAACACGCTACTTGCTCCGATTTGTTACATGCACAGATATGCAATGTACATAATAAACCGAGAATCTGCAATGTGATGAAAAGGACTGAATAGACAATGCGGTACGTGTAGGATCTCGACAAGCAATGTACATTCTCATTCATACATAAAGATGCTGAAGAGCGCAGGGAAGACTTTGATACAAGACTGACCTGACAGGACTGACCTCATTCACATAGTTCAGAGTAACGAAGCAGAATGCTAGAGTACCTCTAACTAGCCCAATCAATGTTTGAACTCAGACTAAACATGCCTTGTATCCATCACGAAGTGTGAAGGAGCCTGGCGCTACACACAGGAAGAAAGCGCCAGGTCCAGACATACACAGACGAAGAGATAAGGAAACAGACGAAAGGAGGGAAGAAGATGGGAATGTCGTTAACACCAAGTCTTGGTCACCAATCCCAAATAGTCCCTCGTTGCCTTGTCTGAACCCTCGAAAGCCGAGTCTGGATTCAATGTCACCAAGGTCTGTATCTCTTCTCTCATAGTCTGCAGATGCAGTGAAGTCAGAAGTGAGAGGGAGAGAAGAGATGGTGGACTGAGAAGAAGAAGAAGAAGAACTCTTTCTCTCTCTCTGTTACGAACCAAGTACTAACCTGTGATGTTGGCGCTGTGCTGCAGGTACCTCGAAGACGAAGCTGGAGCAACGGCGCTGCAGGTAGGTACCTCTGGCCTCCGCCCAAGCTCTCTCTCTCTCCCTCTAGTACTACCTAGCTATGGCGCCCAGCGCTGGAGACTACAGCTACCTACTGCGCCCAGCGCTGAAGACTACTAGCTAACTCTACCACTACTACAACGCAGCGCTCCCTCCAGAGTGCTGCACCCGAATCCTGAAGACTACAACTACCAACTGCCTCCCTCGGAAGTGCCTGGGAAGTCCTATGTACTACCTCGGCCTGCCTCCTGACTACTGGAGGGCAGTCAGGCCGAGGAGGCAGCTCTTGCCAATGCCGAAATGTGCCAGGGGCTGGCGTGCRGCAGCCTGCTTGAGGCTGGCGTGGGAAACAGACTAATAATAGTCTGTTTCCGAAACCCTGGTTCGGTGCCTGAGTTTCAGGGCCGGTCGTTCTGATGAACTACCGAAAATGGCCCTTCGTTTCAGGCTAAAAAGGCTGTTGCCATTTTTAGTCTGAAACGACCAGGGATAGGCCCTGGACTTCAGGCTTTTGGCCTGAACCGACAGGGCGCCTGTAAGCCCTGGATTTCAGGCTTTCAGCCTGAAATTCAGGCTTTCGGCCTGAAGTTCAGGCTTTTGGCCTCAACGTTGTCGGGCCTGCAAAGTGGCCGTCGGGCCTGCAAAATGGCCCGTGTGTGCACGCGCTGCATGTAACAGATTTCTGCTCAAAGTAGAATTCTTGCTGTGAGTCAAATCTGCAGAGATGCACATGCACGGAGTGCCAACTCACTGATTCTGAGGATTAAAATGCGAACAGAACACACAAGCAGGTAACCTCAGTTACCTCACACTCGAGAAGCTGCCCAGAGCCTGCTTTGGCCCAATATACCGAAACTGGCAAACATAGTCAGTAATAACAGACATAATAACAAATGCAACTACAGACAGAAGCACAGAAGTAATTGCAAATGTAAGTACAAACACAACTACAAACATAATCAGAAATGTAAATACAAGTGCGATTACAATTGTACTGACGAACATCCCCTTCAGCTTCTCCTATGATGGACTGCCATCTCCTCTTGTCTGCAAAAGCCTGAGAGACTGTGGTATGGTTTAATAGGGAAGGCAATGCTATGGGTTATCTGAAAAGAGACCGGGGATGATTTTTTTTGGCTGAATTTCACACTGAAAGTCTGAAACTGTCATATTGCCCTGATTTTTTTTTATTTTTTATTTTTAAATGCTATGTAGGTGCTTTAGGGCACGCCACGTGTCCAGTTTTGACATGTTTGGATCAATAATGAAAAAGTTGGGATTTCATTGATTTCATTGGATTCATTGAACCTGAAAGGATTTCACATAGTCAGTCCCCAAAATGTCCCGGTCCCAATTAATCCGGTAGGCTACAGTATTGGCAGGGTAGGCCTAGGGTCTGCAGGATGCGGTCGTAGGTAGGTAGCTACAGTGTACCTGCAAGCACGTCAAGTCCCTCCTCCCAACGAAAGTCGGGAACTTTCCCAAAATGGCAATATGGCAAAGGCAGAGGCCGCAGGAGGCTGGTACCGATTGAAGCAGGCACAAACAGCCCACTGCAACTATATATTTTGGGCCACCGATCCGGAAGACATTCAGTTGCTCCTTTCGCAGAATTGTGGAAGTGCTGGAAGTGCTTGTGCGATCAAGTGACCTGGACGAAGGAGTGCAAGGGGGAGAAGTACACACCGCCTGGCTGCTACAGTCAGCCATAGTCAGGCGAAAGGGGAGAGGGGAGAGGTTCCCCGGCGGCGATGGAAGCCAAAGATCAGCAAGGCACACCGTAGTACCATTCAGGGTAGATCTAGGACGTGGAGAGAGGAAGAGTGAGTGAGGAGCAGTGCACGAGAGAAAGACAGAGAAGTAGACTATCGAGAGAGACACAAAGAGAGAGAGAGAGAAGAGAAGCAGCTGAAGGAGGAGGAAGTTGGGTACATAGTACATACCTGAGGCGTGTTGCAGAGGCTGAAACCGCTTATTCCCAAACTTTTTCAATTGTATATTATTCAAAATAATAATTATTGTACTTTGAGTGGAACTTCGAATTTGCACTGTTCATGGACATCGCTCAAGCTAGCGTGAACTTCATCTGATTGCTCTCAATTTGCATGTTGTATTCTAAGTTAAATCTTGCGAGGCTCATTGCAAACCCTTCATTTTAACTCGGCAAGTGTTTTGACGTTAGGGTTATAGAGTGTTTTTTGTGTTTTTTTGTTCGTTTTCTTTGGCCTGTTTGTTTCCTTGATGTTTGCACTATGGGCCCATATAGTTCGTTTTTAAAACTTTCCTGAATTTTGCACCGAAACTGTCAGCGAAAACGGCCATTTTTTGCCCCTCTGTTAACCGAGTGTCAACCTAATAAATGAAGCTGCTAAAAATGGTTGTCCAGGCTGATCAGACTGATCGTCGGAACGACTTTGGTTCACAAGTGGTCATTTTGGTCACCCTCATTGGTCGCGATGGTCAAGCATGGCCATTTAGCAGGGCGACCAACGTGACCAATCAGGGGTGACCAAAATGACCACTTTGCCAACCCAGGGTCTTGGTTGGTCATCCTGGCAAGTGGTCACTTTTGTCACCCTGATAGGGGCGCGTTGGTCAACCGGGAATGTCCGATCACTTAGTACCCCCAGTGGGCTATACGAATGACCAATAGTCACGCACGGGCCCAACAGGATGGCTAGAATGGCCAAGGCTGGCAAAATGCTGATGATTGACAAATGCTCAGCTTGGCCAGCAGGTTGACCTTTGACTGGTGCTAAAGTTGACCAGGGTGACAACTGGCTTAGAGCTCAAATTGACAAGGTTGACCATTATTACTATTGCTAACCTTGAGCACTGAAAATGACCCAAAAAGTTTGACCAGGATTAACCTGGCTGACCAGGCTGATCACCGAAAACGACCGACTTGACCTGGTTGACCATCAGGACAAAAGTTGACCAGGTTGACCAGCAGGACAAAAGTTGACCACGTTGACCAGCAGGACAAAAGTTGACCAGGTTGACCAGCTGGACAAAAGTTGACCAGCAACCAGCTGGACAAAAGTTAAGCAGCTTGACCATGATGACCACTGAAAATGACCCGACTGACCAGGTTGAAAAACTTGACCAGGCTGACCAGTGAAAACGACCAAATTGACCAGGTCGATGAAGTTGCGTCGGTCGTTCGCTGAATGTGGTCTAATGCACTGGGTTGACCAGTTTGATCGGTTTGACTTTTCATCCTTGGTCTGACAGTTCTTAATCAACTCGGGTGCTGCTCGCTGTGCATATTCTCTTCAACAATCCACAACCACAAGCGGTGTGGATGTTCTCTCTCAACCCAGGATCTTGATTTGCACACAGATGGCCTTTCCAAAGAACATTCCATTCGGTCTTTTGTTGGCATGGCATGGAACACACAACCCTCTTTCGGATAACAAAAAACTGGTGAGCTCTTTGTCGTGAGAACGCCAAGAAGTATGTGCACAAGCACAAAACCCCGTAGCGGCATCAGGGCATACTCGCATTCCGGCTTCCTGGAATGTATCTCAGTGCGATTGCCGACAAATTTAGTTGAAAAAAAGTCCCTAGTGTGAGTATGCTCTTACACTTGTCGTCCGGTTCTGGCAATTCAGGCCGCAGAGAGCGCATCTAGTCTTGACAAGGCCGACTTCGACAGAAAAACGCTCGACAAACTGAGGGCCTGTCGCAGCTTGTCACAATGGTGTGGAAGCAGCTGATCGCCATACTTTGTGACCAGGCTGAACACAGTGCTTGCAAATTTCAATGATCTTCTCATGCCTTCTGCTGCAGCACAGAGCACGTCCACTAACCGGTCCATCAATGCAACATCCATTGCTGGACACAAGTTCAGGGCAGTCAGTACGAGGCCAACCACCGAATCGCTCACTTCGCCTCCTCCTCCTCCTACTCCTCCTCCTCCTCTTCCTCTTCCTCCTCCTCCTTTGGCTGCCGCTGCCTGTTGTCTAGGCTTGCCTCCTGAAGACCAGGAGCTGTCCTCGTGGAAAAAACACGCCATGCCATCCAGCAGTTGACTCAAGAACTCGGAAACTATTTCTTTGGGGAAGGCCTCCTTAACGACCCGGTTAATGACTTCGCACTGGCCAATAGTAAGCATACCCACCCCTTCACGGGTCGTCTCCGCCAAATGATGGTTGCAAACATCGTTCACATGTTTGCTGTCATTGTTGTTAGCCGTTCCTTCGATCAAGGGGGCTACTACTGCGTTCATGACAGCCCATGGCTGCATTCTTGCTGCTGAAAGCACTGAGGAGACTAGGGCACGGGATGGGCTTCGTTCCAGTCTCCCAAGCTTTACAGTCAGTAGGCCCTTGAGCAGTTCAGAGCTCTGCGCATGTGAGTCGGATTCCGAAATGCACTGTGTGCAAAGGAGTAATGTCATATCGTCATCGGCATTCCATGGCTCGACTATTCCAAATATCTCAGGAAGCTTCGAGAAGTGCCTGAAAAGTGCACACGCTTCGTCCAGAGCAGCGGGAGAGTTGCCGTGAAGAGGCATGTCTCCAATAAGTTGGTCGCGGACAGCTGCAGCCTTCTGGAACAAGGATTCCGAAGCTTCCGATCCTTCTTGCCGAGATAGCTTCCTCTCCTGAGCCTCAGTTGTAGCCTGCACAGCGGCAACCCTCCCACAATCCTTCGGATCGCCAGCAGTTGGTGGAGCGCAAGGTTCCTCCATCTCCCATTCCACTCCTTTGCCATCTCCATGATCCTCATGCTCTATTTTTGCTCTTCTGGTCACACTTCGGTTTGTCCAAGGTAGTGAACCTTTATGCACTTCCTTCTCATCCGCCCGGGTGCCGTATACTCTCCTCCTTCGATCGTAATCATCCATCTGTCCACAAACAAAGGAAGGAACTTCATCCTCGATGACTTCACGAGCTTCGTGCTCCTGACTTTGGCACTGCATCATCTGCATCTCTGTCGGCTTGCGCACTGATTTCGGAACACCCATGGCCTGGTCTGGTGGCATTTCATGAGTATCATTACCGTCAATTGACATGTCCTCACTGTCACCATCATGAACTGATAGTCCCCGCCTGGTGGGGGAAATTGCTGCGGTTTTTGGCAGTGAGGTGTGCAAGGACTGACTGATGCGCCTTTCCTTGCAACTGGGATCCCCATCATCCCTCTTATCAACAGCCTTTTGTTTTGCAGGAGCATGGCTTGAGACGGCCCCATCAAACTTGCTCTTGTCGGCATCTTTGACGCGTTGCTTGGTGTTCTGCTCCAGGACTTCACCAGTTTTCTCTACCGGACAGATTACTTCATCTGGCTCCCCAATCCCGAAACTGAGCCACGGAAATGGGGCAAGTCCAGAACAAGTTGAAGAGCTCGGTCGTGGATTGTACCATGCAATACATTCTTGGTGGCAGGAGAACCGCAAAGCAACAAGTCACCAGGTATTGGACAAACAATTTGGCTTTGATCTCAGTAAGCAGAGGTACAACACAAAGTTTTAAGAACAACTTGGCTGACAGACATCAGACAACAAAGACAGGCTTTAACAAGAACTCACCCCTATCAACAAAAGACTTTCTCATTCTCTCTCTCACAACACACATACAGCGAGCAACAGCGCGCAAGAGAGAGAGAGAGAGAGAGAGAGAGAGAGAGAGAGAGAGAGAGAGAGAGAGAGAGAGAGAGAGAGAGAGAGAGAGAGAGAGAGAGAG